GTTGATTGCTCTCTACCCTAAACAGGCCATCCCTCCCACCTTGAGTACTGTGGGATGTTTTATATATATCACTTATGCAATTTAGAGCAACTATCCCTGTTGCTTGCCATTAGTGTTAAAAATTGGTTTACCGAACAATCTTTTGCATCCAGAACTGGCCTGGTTTGAATGTAGCCAGCCTGAGCTCCCTGCAGTGTCTTTTTTTTTTTTTTTTTTTCAAAGCACCAAATTCAAGTGCAGATTTGTTTCTTCAAAAGCTTGCTTAGGGAGAAGCCAAGGTTAATAGCCATATACTTATTCTTTTCAAGAAAGATAGATAGATATCTATCTATCTATACACACACACACACATATATACATAGCTATTATGTAAACATATATTATTTTTAAAGGTCAGAGTTGGATTTTGAAAATTCAGCTCTCAGTAGACATGAGAAATAAAGCTTGGGCTGTGTGCTTGAATTCCCTGCCTGGGAGGGGCTGCAGCCTGGACTGAATTTCCAGCTCTGCCTGTGAAGAAACTAGTAATGTTTCCATTGTTCATAAGCCTCCAGTTTTCGTTAAACTGCATGGGCTCCTGTCAGCAACACCACTGAAAAGTCACCTGTGGCCAGGGCTCTGGGCCAGGCTCTCATTCAGTCCCACCTTTACTACAGCCTGTTCTCCTGTTCCTTGGGCCTCTGTTCCCTCTAAAGAGGGGCTACTAAAGGCTTTCTCTGACCTCAGCTCCCTCTTATTAACCCCGATTCATTTTCTGCAGCATCTTCCCCCCCGCCAGCCTCCAGCCCCGTCCCTTTTCATGCAACCCCTGCACAGATTTGCTGCCAGACTGCACTGAAGTGGCTGAGTTTCACTTTGAACCGTACTTCTTGCAACGTGAGAAGGGAGCTGAAAACTCACCCTGCCTGGGCTCTTGCTCTTCCCCATCCTGCATTTGGCAGGTCTGTGCTTGAACCCTGGAGTCGGGATGGGTCTGAGGCCATGATGGAGCACCCCCAGCACAGCACGGCTGCAACCCAGTGGTGGCACTGGAAGAAGCCTCCTGCTGCTGGAGCTTCCTAAGTGGAAGCAAACCAATCGATCCCCTTGCAGCCCTGTAGGCACAGGCTGAGCCTTGCGAGTGGGAAGCCTAGCTTCTCTTCGTGCGCAGGCTGCCTTCCTGAACCATCACGACCAAACTATGGCATTAGCGATGGAGGCAGCAAAATGCATTAGCTCTAAATGCTGAGGGAAAGCCAGGTTGCTGTTGCTCCTGCTCTTTTGAGCATGGAGCATGGGAATCGGGGACTATCAGTTCCCCCGTTAGGTAGCTGGAGCAAAAAACATAAGTGGAACAAGTTGCTTTTTCAGCTAGGAGCAAGCCTTGGTCTACTAAGGCCATCGGCTCTAGTGGGCAGAGCCTGTTTCTTGCCAACAAACAGCAATCTTTCCCTTGCTCAGACACAGAATATTTTACTTTAAAACTTACCTGCATCATAAGACAACACATGCTCATGTCCTTTTGAAATGACCTTGTAAACAGGAGTGTGTTCCCTTGCATGCAGAAGTAATTCATGTTCATTAACTGCAGCTGGCAATGTAAGAAAAACAGTCACCCCCCAGCGTGTAGCCCAAAGCCAGCCTGCAGGAGAAATTTGTCAGTTTACATATACCTACGTGTGTGTGTGGATGCAGTTATTTTATGTAAGTGTTTTTAAGCATGTTTCACCGCTTTATGATCGCACTGGAAGTTAAGCATGACAGGGCTGGATGCCCTTGACGCTCTGAAGGCTGGAAATGCTTGTGTACTTTCCCCAGCACGTTTAAAAAACAAACCACACAGAAATAACAATTATAAATATACAACTTTAAAAAATTACTGTTAAAGATTTATTGCAATACAATAAAATTTAGAAAAAAAAAAACCATTTGTGTTTAGTTACATCTAGTTCGGAAGTTGCAGAGAGAGGCCCAGAGTTGTTGCAGGTGACGAGCAACCCTTGGATATCCCATCTGAGACCCTTCAAAGGCACCTGATTTTCAACAGAGGGATGGGCTCTCAAAATCAGGCCCTTCCTTGGCAGCACAAATTTGCCACACCAGATCACTGGTCACAGACAAAAGTCACGGCCTAAACTGAAATTCCTGCATTCATGCTACGCAAATCGTTCTGTAAATTCTCAGCTGGCTGTCTTCAAATATCTATAATTAAAAAAAGTGGTTTTCCCCCCCCCCCCCCCCCCCCCCCCCAAAAAAAAACAACCTATAAAACTAATCCTGTCAATTGCACTCAAGTTTTGGACACACATTTTTTTCCCTCTTAGCTGCACATGTGCAAAACACTTTAAAAAAAACCACAATCTGTATTCTGTTACAAAAAACATGTCTTGAAAGGACCTATCCCAATGCATTATAACACTATTGCAATGCCTTTGTGCACTTTCAGCATGTTACATGGTTGCAAATAAATTATTTGGAAAACATGATGGTTATGAAGTTAATATGGCTTAAAAAGGTGTCTGTTATTTTTGTACAGTAAGTGAATGATAGCATACAAAGCTGAAGCATGGCCTGGCCTTCAGGGGTTCCAAGTAGCACAAAGGCGGCAATGAAAGAGTGACTGAAATGTGTTAAAAAAAAAAAAAATTAGACGGTGGGGTCCAGTGCAAAATAAATGGGGAACCAAAAAGGGCTGTAAGATGCTAAGAGCCCAATATACAGTACTCATGAATGTGTGCTGGTTGCTCAGAACTGCAAAGAATCCGATAGCTGCAACTAAGTAAAGTGCTGTTAACTGAACGGGAACCCACGCCTACAGTCCCCCGTCCCTGGAGAGAGCCCTTGCGGTTCGGGGGGCGGGGGGCATAGTCCCAGTTCAGACTACAGTAGTCAAGGAGTCTTGGCTATTCTCTTAACTGTCATGTTTCCCAAAACAAACCTAACTATTGGATTTAGATGAAAACAGTTGTAGTGCTGAGGATGTCTTCATCTAACAACGTATATGCTGTTAGCATAGAGTTAAGGGTCTTTGGTTTAAAAAAAAAAAAAACAAAAAAACCCTAACGACATCAAATCCCCATCCCTAAGGCCAAAGAGAAAGAGCTGCCATACGAGACCGGGGGGGTGGGAGACACAATATTTGACTGGTACCTTCAGAATGAGGATCACTGGGGTGCACAAGCATTAGTACGTAAATTGCTTTTTCAACCATTCCTCAGTGGAGACAGGAGGCAGCACAGATCAGCCCTGAAGGGAGCACACGTCTCCTTTTGCTGGCCAGAGCAAAACCACCACAAACCGCTCCACAGAGAACAAGGCAGCAGGGTAAGCTGGCCGCAGAGCCGGTGTCTGCAACATGCACTAGGACACTGCCTGACGCCGGTGATGTGGCTCATGCATCATCACTCACTGCAGCCTCACAGCGCTCCACATTACGAGCTGTGTCGCCACTGGAAAATTACAGGGAAGAGAGGTGGAAATCTTCCATCCTGGAGGGATGGGAGGACGCTTTTACATTAGTTTACCCCATGGAGAAGTAAAATGTCCCAACTAGAAAATGTAAACCGTATATTGGAAGCCTCACTGAGTAAACCCATCTTTAAGTAATACATACCGAAAGGCAGAGGAAGTGGAGGAGCCACTTGCTAACGAACGCATCTGTCAGTATCACACCTCCCGCAGTTTTACAAGCGAGCCAACTGCGCTGTGAGCATTTCTGCAGTGAAATGAAATCAACTTCTTGGCATTTAGTAAACAAGAAAAAAACCCACCATAAACATAAAATAGAATAGGGTTTAAAATGCATGTAGTATGGAGAACATGTGACTTCATTAAACTAGCTTGAAATGAGGTTTTCTAATATTACAAAGTAGCAACATGGCATTGTAACTGATGAATATTATTGCAACAACACAGTCCTCCTGTATCGGCATCAAATGTGGGTCTAGCTAACAGAACGTCCAGTGTTTCTTTGGTGTATGGTATTAAGAGTAAAGAGCCTGTGTGTGCTTTGGACAGCACAACATGAAACTTCTAGACTACCGATCAGTGGAAATAGCATGAAACAAACCAGTTTTCTACTGCAAAACTGGGTAAAGATCCACAACCAAATTAAAACAAGAGCAATTTGCTGTGTGAATTCTGGTCCATGCTGATTCTTTGTATTAAAAATATGGCAACAGAGATTAGAAAACATGTTAAAAATGCATAATTTTCATGTCCCGAATGAAAAAAATTTAGAAATATGCATTTTTGCATTATGCAAGACAGATTTAAAACACACACAAACAAAAACCCTGTAAGGAGTTAAGAAAATGTGAATTGCATTTGCACCACCATCCAGACTGAATATTGAGCAGCCTTCTCCCTGTACTCATTTTGATCCAAATTCTCCAAAATCTGTTTCTTCTTTAGAAGGTAAAGGTGGAGGCTGCTGGGTCCTTTTTCTTCAATACTCAACAATGCAGACAGAACCAAAACACAAATCACAGAATCACAGAATGGTTTAGGTTGGAAGGGACCTCCGAAGATCATCTAGTCCAACCCCACTGCTCAAGCAGGGTCCTCTAGAGCATGTTGACCAGGATCACGTCCAGACGGGTTTTGAATATCTCCAGCGGAGGAGACCCCGCTACCTCTCTGGGCAACCTGTTCCAGCGCTCTGTCACCCTCACAGTCAAGAAGTTTTCCCTCATCTCCAGATGGAACTTCCTGTGGTTCAGTTTCTGCCCATTGCCTCTTGTCCTGTTGCTGGGCACCACGGAGAAGAGACTGGCCTCATCCTCTCGACACCCTCCCTTCACATACTTGTACGCATTGATGAGATCACCCCTGAGCCTTCTGCTGAAGAGGCCCAGCTCTCGCAGCCTTTCTTCACAGGAGAGATGCTCCAGTCCCCTCATCCTCTTTGGAGCCCTCCGCTGGACTCTCTCCAGTAGCGCCATGTCTCTCTTGTACAGGGGAGCCCAGAAGTGGACCCAGTACTCCAGGTGAGGCCTCAGCAGGGCTGAGGAGAGGGGCAGGATCCCCTCCCTCCACCTGCTGGCAACGCTCTGCCTGATGCACCCCAGGATCCCATTGGCCTTCTGGGCCACAAGGGCACCTTGCTGGCTCGTGGTCATCTTGTTGTCCACCAGAGGACTCCCAGGTCCTTCTCTGCAGAGCTGCTTTCCAGCGGGTCAACCCCCAGCATGTACTGCTGCGCGGGGTTATTCCTTCAACGAAGTGCCGTCATAGAATCAGTCAGAAGTGTGTAGCTAACTAATTTACAAAATGGTGCCGTCACAGTCATCTTGGGTAAATAAAAAGGTTTTTCTGGTTTACAAAATTGAAGTCTGACCTTTTCTTTGTTCCAGGCACTACTTAACTGAATACGTAAGGTTTACTACAGCATTGTCGGGGAGGGATTCCTTCCACAGATCCTGTGATCCTTTTCCCATGCTCATTAACGATGTCCAGTGTACGCCTTAAACCACGAAGTCACCGAGGCAGCAGCAGAAGAGATCATTCCACCAGCGCTGCTGCTGGCGATGGGCTGAGATACCTGTGTACTCTGACTCTGCAGCATCTCCACCTGCTGCGAGGGGATATCGCAGAACCTAGGGCTTGGCAGATTCTCCCAGTCTGTCCCTAGATCTGTCTCTTCATCACTGACGTGCTCATCTCCACTCTCATCTGTTTCACCAGTGGCACTGGGATCCACAAACTCCATGGAGTCTTCAAGATCAGCACTAATTTCAAAAGGCCCAGACCTGTAAACATGGACACAATGCTGTCAATCCTTTTGGTACAATGCGAGACAGGGAATATCACTTCACTGGTATGAGTCCTAGGCATGCCAAAGCAGCCTGGTGTGTGTGTCATGCATATAGTAATTAAAACCTCTGTGTTTATCAGTTGGCAAGGAGAAATTCACTGGCTGCAGAGATAACTGTATTATGACAATGGTAAAATGAAAACAGTTGGCCAAGGAAGCGATAGCTGCGTTCCAATCCATCGAGCAGGAACAGCGGAAGAGCTGTTTTACTTTGGCAGGGGATAGTCACACACACGCAAGCTATTGATAATAACTCACAGTTCCACTAGTGGAAATCTCAGCTTGATGTAGAACAGCTTTTATTTTTAAAACGAGCTCTGGCCAGGCCAAGACTGCTGCAGCTCTGTCAGCAAGGGGAAGGCTGCAGTTCACAACTTACAGAGCTGGGTTGGCAGAATCCACTAGTGGAGACTACCCACAGCAGCGTTTCACTGCAAAAAAGATCAGCCAAACCTGTTAGCGGAAACCACCTTCAACCAGCACTCGGTCAGCTACCGTGTGCCTTTGTTATACCTCTCTGCAAGATGCAATAAGTTGTTTCCAGGAGGACGCGTTTCCACTGTGGGTTTCACAGCTCTCTGCTGAGGA